CGGTTTCGACCATTTTGTAGCAAAAGAGCTCAGAAAAACGGTCCACTACAGTGAATCTCCTTAAAACAGCCCTGGAAAGTGCTAGGCCTCGGTTATTGCGGCAGAGGGCGCGACCATGGGAGACAACGTTTCAAGGTGTACAGGGTGCGGCAAAAGTATTGTCGCGAGCTTTTGCCTCATATCTGATGCGCGACTAAAAATCGGGAAGTTTTGTCAACAGGGTTAGCTTCAAACAGGTCCAAGGCAGCAATCTGCTTTTGAAAGTTTCTTGGAATCATGATTTTTGAGCGAGTTTCATTGCATGATGTACGCGACCAAAAATCACGGTGCGCCGCGTCCTCGGTTCGTCGAAATAGGCTTCTGAATTCGGAGACTACGTGGGACCATGACTTTTCATATGTGTTTCTGGTAGCATTTGCTTTGTTCTCCGTCGTCCAAAACGGAAATCTTATAATTTTGTGATTTGAAGGAGTTATGGCCTCAGCAATGGTTGACGAAAATGGGCTAATCTGGCCGGTTTCGCGAGAAGCTTGGGTTTTTTGGTTTTTATTTTCTGAAGGGGCTTTCAGGGGATGACGTAACGGCATATTAGTATGCTTCCTGTTTGCTTATTTTAATGTGTATGATGCGCTAAAACCTGATCGCTATCCACCTATGGTTTGAAAAAAATTAATTTTGCATTTGCAAGCAGTCATGGAAGCTTATGTTTTCGAACCAGGTCAGGACTACTAGGCTCAAACTTCGGCAATATATAAAAAGTAGCATGGATCAACCACAGAAAAATTAGCAAGGCTATCATTGCTTTGCGGACGACACAATCTCGCTTTTTGCATACGGGGCGGTCATGTGCGGCGCACTGGATTTGCCTCGTCTTTGAATAGGGCTCCCTCAAAAAAGGAGCCGCAACATTCTTTGGTTGATGGTTTCTCAGGCAGAGTTTTACATGCTCTTTCAAATTAAATAAGAAGTTTGGCGTAGATACCATTCTTTGGCCACCTAGAGAGCGTCTAAAAAGCAGTTTTTAAATTCTGGAAGTAAATCTTATCATCGGATAAAGCATTAAAAACTGCATAAAATAGATTTTTGGCTAGAATATCTGTCAAATTTCCTCGCAGATACAGCCGGCGGAAAGTCGCGACAATACTTTTGCCGCACCCTGTATGCGCATTTGTATCGAAGCGTCTGGGGGAAGCTGTGAAGATTTATTGTTGATTTTTGTTTCGCAATTTGTTCTTTACGTCTTAATTAAACTATTAGTTACCATTAGTTCTCTCCCTCATAAGAATTTTAGGAATTTCCAGTCGATTTAGCAGTATCAAGAAATTGCGGGAACTTTTCAGCCACCCTGTATGTTGCGAAATTCGATGATTAAAAAATCTAAACGTCTAGCAAAGCAATTTAATGTTAAAAATTCCATTTTCAATAGAAAATTCGGGCTACCATAACCAAAATACCGCAGCGACAGGTCACGGAATCTAAAAGTCACACGCCTAGGGTATATACGTTGATAGTAAAGTGACGGAACAGCTGAGAGGGTGGGTGGGGGAGGTAAAATCGGGCTGGGTAAAAGCCCATGTTTTCACGCTCTGTCCACCGCCCACCCCCCATCACACACCTGTCCCTCCCCTTCAACCAGGCAAAGCCACAGCGCGCCAAACCCGGTAAATAATAGGGGGTAAATACGAGGCTGGTGGCCTGATTAGCATAATGAGTTTTTAAAGGCACCAGGAAGTCAAAAAAAAAACGAAAACTTCCAAAAAATCTACCTAAACGCTTAAATCATCAAACATCAAGCCCAAAACAAAATAAAAACATGAACACAATGAAGCGCGTATCGAAAATTCCTTAGATTACTCTGCTAGTTTGCCAGCAACAAACCTCAGAAAAACTACCATTAGAAAGCGGAATCTAAATTTAGAGGGATTAGGATTCTCTATCAGAAAGGAACAGATGAAAAAATCTCTCAGAAAATTCCCCAAAAACCTCTGCTAGCCTGCCACCACTAAAAGCTGAAAATGAATCATTCGGGAGTCAAGTGCCACAAAAATTGCAGGCCGCGCAGGCAATTTACGCCAAAAGCGCGACCGCATAACGGCTAATTAGGGTTGAGGAGGAGGACGGTTCCTTTAGTCGAGAGAGAGAGAGATAGAGAGAGAGAGAGAGAGAGAGAAACAGAAATGAGGGTTCCGCCCGACGAATCGGTTTTCATCGAGTGATTGGGGGATGAGGAGGAGGAGGAGGGCTGCTGGCTGAGTATGTTGGGCGTGGAGGCAATGCAGCCCAGGCTGGAGGGCAAATTTCAAGGCCATTTTCATATCAGCCGATGGTTTGGAGGGTTGAGGGCAATTGGGCTCACGCCCAATTCCACAACCTCAATCAAACACTGCATTCACGAGGTCAAAACGAGGGGAATGAGTGGAGTTTACGGAAGTGAGGGTGTGAGGGCTTGGAAATTCACTAAAGATGCCTTCTAGCTTGACTGAATATACATTTTAATAAAGTGTTTCTGCTAGATTTCCTAAAGAATTCATGCTAGCATCTCCAAAAACTCCCCAAGAGGAAAAGAAGAAGCTTTTCAGTGAAAAAGACTAAGTAAAATACTTGCAGCCGTTCCAAAAAAAAGTAGAAAAGGCACAATAAAGTATTGAAATTCCTAAAAAAACCGGCTAATTTGCCTAGAGCACCAACATTTCATCACGATTTTCCGGAATTCCTAAAGAAACCCTGCCAGCATGCCTGAAAGTTGAAAGAAAAGAAAGCAAGAAGCCGTTCAACAAAAATTTAAATCACCATTGCTAGCTGGCTCAAAAAAAATCGAAAATGCATGAAACAAGCATCAAAATTCGTAAAGAAGCAGATCCAAGCTAGTTGGTCGTAAAACAGAAGTAGAGAATGCTCGAAAGGTCTTGTAAATCCCGAAAAACCCCTCGAATCGGGGGCCAACTAGTAGAAACCCTCTAGCAATTCCCAATCAATAACAAAAAACCGTCGAAAATTAAGACAAGAAAACGCGCCAGCTGCCAAGACGCCATCGCAACAGACGGGAGAAGACACCCACCCACCCCTGCATTTTTCTATGGATTTTTGGCGGCGTATGACCCCCTGCTGTGAAGCCGTGCCGACAGATAAGGAGGCGCAACTGAGCCGCCCGACCAAAAATGGACTCCTCCAATGGAATTCGAATAATTTTTGGGGCGGGGTGAAGCCGTTAAAAATAGATGAGGGATATGTTTGAGGTTTATGTGTCATTCTTAGGTAAAAAATGACGTTAGAGTCACCCAGCGGACGTAAAAGGTTGCTATAAGCAAACTAGCAAATTTTACTTAAGAATAGAGGGAGAAATCCAGTAAGAAACGCTTAGAAAAGAGAACTAGCCAAGTGCGCATAAGGTAACCCTGTCCAATGGAGTCAGGGGTAGTCAAATGCTGGTTACGCGGCACGGCAATTGACATGCCAATACTGTGCGCCTGCCTTACGGCCTGAATTTAACTATTGTAGCTCATATAAACTATAGAAAAACTACCTAAAGCTCTAAAAAGGCTAGCCGAAATGCGGGCAAAGCTTCAACCTTCAAAATGAAGAGCTCCAAAAGCGAAAAAGCTAAAACTAAACGACAAAATCTCCAAAACCATAGCCAATATCAACACCAAAAGTTGTGCAACTTGACTGAAGTCGCGGTGATTAACGTAGCGATTAGGGTCGCGTGGCCCGGAGCGCGGAATCGGAAGCGCTGAAGAATGGAATCGGCAAACAGCTCGCCCCTCTCTCGCTCTAGCGCCTCGAATAATTCGCCCCCCTTGGTGGAGACCCGCCGCTTCGATCGCCACCTAAAGCCGGACGGTAGACGGCCAAATTGGGAGGCGCACGGAAGTGAAGGCGGGTGGGAAAAAGTGAACGGCAACATTTCCAGGTACGGCCGGTTTTGAAACGGCAACGAAATGGCACGGGAATGTGTCTCATCGGTTTGAAAATATATGAAAAACTGATCAAAAAGCTTTGTTTACACTCAAAAAAGTAAAAATGAACCATGAAGAAGGCTAAATTGTTAATTCAGGTCATATTTCTAAGGCCCTAAAATAACCCATTTGATCGATAAAATATGCCCTGATACCTGAACTTACTAAATAAGCTGCGTTATGACGCATTTACCAGATTTTTTATTTTATACCACCTTTATTAGAGAAAAAAGTGACTCTGCGAACCGTCAAGCCGGTAGACTGCTCTGAGCGCCATCTGACACCCTGACTTCGTGCCTGCGTTGCAGAGTCTCGTTTTAGAGCCAAATTCGCGGATTATTAACTCAAAAACGTAAATAACTTGACCGAAGATCAGGCGCGCGATAACGCAAACTACCAGAAAATATGTTTACCAAATAAAAAAGAATGGATGTTTGCGGGAAATGAACAACAAAATGCTCGCCCGCGGCTTGTGAGACGCGCAATGAGCGTTCTCAACGAATTTGATCCCAATTTTGACGTCCAGAAAGCTTCGGCTGCGCAAAAATTTGCGTAGCAAACCCCGCCCGCGCCTTGTGGGAACCAATTCAGCGTTTCACAGAGATTCGAGGCAGATTTACCATGTCTAAAAACCGCTTCCGGGTAAAAATTTTCATGCAAAGCCGAAATTTCGAGTTTTAGAACGCAGCACTTTTGTTCAAAACATTTTTTATTAATAATTGGTTGGCATCCAGATAAATTTATCGATCCAGAGAGCGGCACCGGCCAAGCGATCGGATACCAGTTTCATTCGCTAAAAACCACTTACTTGTAAAATTTTCAAGCATTTCAAAAAACCAGATACGGGTTTTTAAACTTTTAATACTTTGTTTCAGGAGTTTTTTATTTATAATCGATCAGGACCATGATAATTTTCGTGCCAGAGATGGTACGTACCGAGCCGGCGCCCGCGCGCCGCTTGAAAAGCCTTTTTACGTTTCTGAGGGTTTTCTCGCTTTCGCTCACGTTATATTGTGCTTTCTTACTAATTATTCTTTTCCAGTGATGTCTGGACATCATCACAAGCATGGGTATCGACGCCGGGACGAGAGGCGACGGTAATTTTTAGATATTAGCTTTATAGTTGGCTTTTTGAAATCCAGCATCATTTGGATCTGTTTGATGATGTATATAGAATCTTTGGTACTAGTATACTTTGGGGGGCCAAAAATTTTTTACGGCCAAAATTTCTCATTTTGCACTATTTTGTTCAGTTTTTCATGCTGAATCGAACGCACATGTTTCCAGATTTTTTTGTTATTGCAACAACATAAGAATTAGGCAACAATAACAATTACTAGCAGGGGTGGATCTCCTTTACATGCGACCAAAAGTTGAAGAATGGATCGCATGCTTAGGATTAGGCTTAGGCTTAAGCTTTGACCTAGGCTCAGGCTCAGGCTTTGGCTCCTGCTTTGGCTTTGGCTCAGGTTAGGCTTAGGCTTATCTGCGGATTGTGCAACGGTATACTACTCAAAAACTATTGAAATTACTTGTAATAGAAATAGTTAATTATTACTAGAAAACATGATATAAAAAAATCTGGAAACACTTTCATTGGATTCAGCACGAAAAACTGAACAAAATAATCGAAAATGAGAAATTTTTGTGGAAAAATTTTTTTGGCCCCCCCAAAGTATACTAGTACCGAATCTTTTCTTTTAGTTCTCGCTCCCGTAGCGTTGGCTATGATGGATCGGGTGACCACCACGGCTCGGGCAGAAGGAAACGGTCGAGAAGCCGCTCACCCCGTGATGCCCGGCGCAACGACCACCACCACAACGACCGCCACCACCACGACCGTCACCGCAACGACCGCCACCACAAGGGCCGGCGACGGGTCAGCGCTCGCTCTCGATCCCGTTCACCTGAAAGAGACCACCGACGGTAGATTCCCTAATGTTTTCTCGTTAATTTTGGTTCTAGAAGTCACCATGTCCGGCAGAGAAAACACAGTAGAAGGGATTCGTCAAGCGCCACCCCGGAGTAAGGGGTTTTTTATTGACTAAAAAGGGGCCTTTGTGATGTTCATTGGGTTTTGAAAAGAAGTTTTGCCCTATCTTGTGGGGAATTTTTTCCCGGTTCAAACGCATTGTGTAAAATCTGCGAAACGCCGAGTTTAAAAAAGTTATCAAGCTTTGAGCCGCGAAAAAGTGCTCAGGCTTGGTAACTTCGGGCTGATTTTGCGAGTTAAGGCTTTATACTTTCTTTAATTTGGTCGTTTTTCTGTCTTCTAGATATAAGAAAACAAGCCTCGATAAATTTTCCACAGGTTAGGCTTTCTCTCCATATGAAACTCGGTTTGAAAGTGTAAAATATATATTTTCTTAGGCGTGTCCGACGCCCGTCTGGCGGCTCGATGCGTTCGAGGGAAAGGGAAAGCAGCAAGAGGAAGAAGCCATCTGGCACACGGTGGAGCTCGAGCGATGATGTGGACACGGTCATTTTTGCGGCCTATTTTATCGTCTGTTTTAGCCGATAAAGCCATCTACTCTCGCAGCTATCGCGGCGCCATTCGGTGGCCTTGGGGTAGGAATTTGATTTAGAACGAAATGATTTTTTTAGTTTATGCCCGTCACTAAGCCATCTATTGCTATAACGGGGCCGTTGGTTCAAGCTATCGGTGAGATTTTGGTACATGGACAAATTGGGTTTTTAGCCTTGCCACCACCACCCGACATCAAGCCAGACATCAAGCCGGATTTACCATCGCGAGACGTGAAGCCGATTCTACAACAGAGGGACGTCAAGCCAATGCTACCGCCTTCGCTCATGATGCCAGCGGCGATACGCACTCCTCCAGTTGCTCTTTATGTTCGTTTTTTTAAAGATTGGCTGACAAGGAGTCGTTTTATTGGATATTAGAGTTTTGTGATCTTTCACAACGAATTCCCACAGCTTGAAATTCAGAACAGATCCCATCTTTTAAAAATGCTTGAGCGGTTCCTATGGTGGAGGTATTTGCTCTGAAACGGCCCATCTTGCCCATTTTTGGCTAGAGCTTCTTAAAATGTAAAATTTGGGAAACGTTTGCGCCAGATCACCGTTTAGCAATTTTTAAAAGATGGACCCTGTTCAGAATTTGAAGCTCTAACGAATGAGCTATATAAAATCGCAAAAACCCGGATATCGCTTGAAAATGGCTCCTTGTCAGCTTTGTCGGATTTGATAGGAAAAGTATTTTCCAATTTTGATTGTTTTGCAATGGCTTTTTGGTAACTTGCGTTTCAGAGCCCGGACGTGCTTCCACCTCCACCGCCCTGTGAGGAGCCACCGTCGCCTCCCGCATACAAGGTTTGTTTTTCGCTGTTTCTTGTAGTTTCTTCTTTATCTAATTTTTCTTTTTCAGCAGCTCGCACCGGCGCAACAATCCTGTTCCGACCACTACAATGCCGGGCCACCGCCGAGCACCATCCCGTTGCCCTGCACCGTACCGCCGCCACAATTCGCAGCTCCGAACTGCCCACCTCCAGCTCCTCTCGGCATTCAACAACCACCCGATGCGCTGCACGGGATTCCGATGCCTCTACCTCAAATGCCACCTGGGATTTCGCAAGCGCTTCCTGCGCGCTATGGAGCTCCAACACCACCACCGCCTGATGTGCAGCCCGGACACTCGCCTGTATCGCCGCGCCCCGATGGCCACATCCCTGGACAGCGCTGCCCTCGTGCTGTAATTCGATGCAGTCGTCCCACGTGGGTGGATTTATCTATAGGGTTTTCGCAAAAACACCCACTCTAATGGCTCAGAAAAGTGTCCGGTTTTGGGATCTAGTGTTATCGGTAGCTCGAAAAGGGAGGAAAACGTTGTTGTTTTCTTGTAGCTTTCTTAAATTTCGTATTTATTGGGAGAAAAATCCAGAAAATAGAAAAACGTATGCTAATTCCATATGTCAATTGTCGATTTCCGGCCGAATATTTAGAAGTTTTTTTTGCGAAAACGTCTCATATGGCGTGAATCAAAAAATATTAATGGAAAACTAGATTCTCTACTGGAAACCAGGCTAAAAACGGCTTTCTTATCTTTTCGGTAGCTTTCGTATGGTCAAAAAATCATCGTCATCCGATCTACCCGCTAGAGCGGAACTTTATTTTGGGAATAGTCTGTTTCCCGAATATTCTGTTTATTTAGCGTGATCAAGCTGCCCTCCAATACTCAACGTTCCATGGCCGAGAAGGCATGGGGCCTCGGCAGCCTTGCTGATTACGTCGATCAGCTGCAGATAGGCGAGGGCACCTACGGCCAGGTCTACAAGGCCGTACACCAAAAGACCGGTTTGTTCGAAAGAATTTTTATATTTCGTGGTTCAGGTCATGTCGTCGCGTTGAAGCGAATCCGCCTGGAGAACGAGAAGGAAGGCTTCCCGATTACGGCCCTTCGTGAGGTTAAGGTATCTTATTTGGCGCTGCCCACCAATTTCTGATATTTTCGATTCTATGTGCGGCCATCCATCCAAACATTGTACGCCTCGAAGATATCATCACCGAAGCACGAGATAGGCAAGAATTGTATCAAAAGAAAGGTTTGGACTTTTTGGATTAATTGAGGGCTCTGGTTCCTAGGTTGGGGGGGGGCTTGAGTTCTTCATTCTAAAAACTCCAAGATATGTAACAAATCGTACACTTTTTTGTAGCCTTGAGCCGTTTCCGAATTTTTTAAAAGATGCAAAGTAACCATTTTTAAACCTGAGAATTAGGATTTTTCATCAAACAGTCAAAAAATTTTGCTGCAAAGTTTAATGATTTTCATGACTTTAGTTATCGAGAAAATGCGTAAAATGCTGTTAAAATCGCTGCCATTTTTTAGTTAGAGAGCTCTACCGTAAGATTCGAAAAAAATTGCTGATCTCTCTGCTAAAAATCGGTCCCCCCGCTAACGAACGAGTGCCTAACAAGCCCCTATAACTTTATCTTTAGCGGCCCATTACCTCGTCTTCGAATACGTTCATCACGATCTGCACGGGCTGCTCGAGTCGGGCCTAGTGAAATGGAACGGCATCCAGTGCGGCGCCGTCTTCAAGCAGTTGGCCATGGTGAGCTTTTTCAGCGGCTTTTACTCCTCGTTGAGGCCTTGGAATACGCGCACAACAACAACATCATGCACCGCGATGTCAAGTGCTCAAATATCTTGCTGACGGATAAGTAAGCCTTTCAGTTACCGCCTATCGAAAATTTAGGGGCGTCTTAAAACTCGCCGATCTTGGGCTGGCACGCTACTACAAAGATCAGGATCGTCTGTACACAAATCATGTGAGATTGGGGTTATTTGTTGGTACTTTATTTTTAGGTGATTACGCTGTGGTATCGCCCGCCAGAGCTGCTGTATGGGGAGGAACGGTATGGCCCGGCGGTCGACGTCTGGAGCGCCGGGTTGGTTTTCTTGTAAATTGGAAATTGTTAGAGTAAAGTTCCGTTCTTTCGCGTTATCGGGGAGGGGGGAAATGTTTTTTTTATGATTGATGAAATGTCTAGTAAGTTAATGGTAGTTTCAATAATGCTTTTAGTAAAAATAACTACATTTCAACTAGAAAAACTTTCTAAAAACTAAAAAGTCGACTATTTTTGATCGTAAATTCGATATTTTTGACATTTTTAATAAAATTTTGTAAAGTTTCACGTTTAGGAATAATAAAAAACCCATTTAGCAACACTTTTACTAATTTTATTTTAGAAAATTTGATCCAAAGAAAATATGTTGATCCCCCCGATAATGCGAAAGAGCCTAAATTTATTTTTATTATCTATTTATTTCCCTTTTCAGATGTATACTCGCTGAACTCTTCATACGCCGCCCCCTTTTCCCCGGGCAAACCGAGATGGCCCAGATTGACCTGGTTCTGCAGGTCAGTTTTGCCATTTTTTGCGTTCAACTTTGTGAAATTTAGCTCTGCGGTACACCTACTCGCGCCAACTGGCCCGAATTCTTCGAGTTGGTCAACTACAAGGTCTACACGCCTCGGCATGATCTGCCGCGTATCCTGCAACACGAACTGAGTTCGTGAGTTTCATTTATTAATTTTTATTATTAACATTATTTAAAAACAATTAATTTTAAGTGTCGTTTTTAGGGTTCCCAGAGGGCCACTCGAGCTCATCGATAAAATGCTGGCCCTGAACCCGAAGGATCGACCGAGCTGCTCGGATATTTTGCGCCACAAATTTTTGAAGGACATTGACCTGGATCAGGTGCGCTGAATTCGCTTTTCTATGTCATTTCTCTAGGTGTTGCCGTTGGATATGCCCAAAAACAGCTGCTACGAGCTGTCGATGAAGCAGGCGAGGAGAGACAAGTTGGTTTTTGGCAAGCTGTTGTAGGCAAAAAATGTGGTACTGGCTTGTTAGCGGGGGTGGCAAACCTGTTAAAACTAGCGGATAAATTTGTGCGTTTTCTAGAAAATTTTATGGTGTTTTAGTGGGTTTTGATTATTGAAAATCAATAAAAATGTTTTTGAAAATTGAAAAATTCTACAATTACTATTTTATACAATTTCCAACATTTTATGGGCTTGATCCTTGCTTTCTGGGCGGAAAAAACGGACTAAAAAGCTATTTCGACATAGCGGGGCTCTGGCGCAAAGTTATGTCCCCCCCGCTAACAATCCAGTACCAAAATTTCTCCAGGAAAGCACGGGAGCAAGTACTTCGCGAGCAGCAACAGCAGCACCAACACCACGACAACGGACAGTCTCGCCCCACAAGCGCCGCCTCGTTCCCGCCGTCGTCTTCAAGATCCCGGCCTCGCTCGCCTCCAATGTCTCGGGCTCCATCTCACCACAGAAGCACCAGGTTTTGACATATGACCATGTTTTTTTTTGAAGCGGCGCCTTCACTTTGTGCCTCCCCCGATTTCCATGGTGCTTTTGTTGTGCTTTCATTGTTGTTTTCCTTTCGACCATCATCGCATGTTTTGCAAAGTTTTCTACTGTTCTCCCCGGTCCGTAACAGCGATTGGTGATGCGTCGATTCCGGTTTTTGCCGAATGGCACAAATAAAGATTCACAAACTAATGCCTTTGGTTGCTGCCTTCTAAAATTGGTTGATCCAGTTTTCCGTCAGCACTTTAAAGTGCCTTCCCACCACCTGGATTCCCTGACTTTGTGAGTGTTTGGCGTTCACCTGCCAGTGATTTTCTTTAATTAGGGCCGCAGGGCCACGTGTTCCCAAAGTTCACCATGCCTTTCGATAAAAGTCAAAGTAGATGGTCGCTTCGAGGTTTGGGTCGACGGCGACGAAACCGCTTGGCCGACAGCCGGGGTTCGGCTCGATGCGGATCGTCTTGGATAAGAGTTGAAAGAATCTGTAGCGCCAATCTTCGACTGCCCACAAGCAGACGACGAGGAAGCTGGCGACATAGCTGAAATGGCAGCGTTAAGCAATTTGGAGAAGCGTCGAATATAGGGATTCGGGAGTGCTTTTGCAATATCGGGGGAACCGATATATTTCGGTCGAAAAACAAACATTAAAAAACTTTTGTCACAAAAATTTTGGTCGAAAACCAATCGTCAGCATCTTAATAGTTTTTCAGTCAAAAAATCAATATTTTTGTGATTTTCAATAAAGCTTTGTAAGGTTTCTACGCTTGGAATAGAAAAAAAAACGGTTTAGACATATTTTTGAACCGGTTACCGGATTCGAATTCGAGGGACTTACAACGCAATGTACAGCTCGCAGAACGCTTTGCCCATCTCCGCGCGCAGCGTATCCCGCGGCGCCAACCAGCACAACGTGGCTATGCCCAAACCAACCGTGATGGTCACCGCGTTCCCGATTACGATTCGGCGCATGAGCTGAATTATTAGGAGGTGCTCTATGAAACCTTCTGACCAACCCGAAACACGCGGATGTTCTCCTCCACTTGATACCTTACAGAAAGATAGCCCGTTTGCCCATATGCCATTGAAGAGAGCGCGGCGAGCACGTGGTCAGTGTAGACTGAAAGTCGCCAGTAGACCTAAATAATACCCTAAAAGTTTCAATTTTCGGTCGATAACTCACAATCAGCAACACAGCTCCGAGCACCAGATAGCCGCCCCCGAAACAGATCATCGAGACGCGAGGGTTTGAGGCAAAAGCTAAAACTTAATTCACTGATTCTAAGCAGGTAGATAAATTAACGTACCGTAAAGAAAGAATGTCCCCATCGCAGCGGCGAATAAGGATTGTGCATAAATTAAAAGGTAGGAGATCCACGGGCGCCGCTTCTCCTCGTAGTCCCAGATGAAGCAGCAAGCGAACAGCCTGAACGCCTTGGACTCGCCAGTTGCAGCCTACCTCTCGATGACGATCACTGGCATTTTTAGGGCTGATATTATGGCCAAAAAGACCCGGCCAGCCGAGACGAGGAAAAGCAAGACATCGGTCTCGGGCGTTTCTAAAGACTTTTACTTTAGGCTCACGCTCAAAAATTGCCCTCCATCTCTTTCAATCCACTAAATTTTTTTAGATTCACCCTCAAACAGGCATTTGAGCTCCATTTCCACGCACCTTTTCTTTGTAAAAAATGAAACTCGAAAAGCATTAGAATTCCCCGTGTCACAGAATGTATCGCCATGCAAAAACCAAAGAAGATGAACAACCGCAGCAGATTCTTGTGAAATTGCCCGCTCGTCGCCACCACTGTGATAAAGGGGATATAAAGAACCGTCGAGCCGATTATTGTCAACATCTCCAAACCGGTCACTGCGTAGAGATAGGTCCAGGCTGTGCCGGTGTTCTAAATCTGTAGATTAGACTCCGTGATGATGCTTACCAAGAAATTGTCGGTATCTAATGAATATTTTATAAGCTCGGTGACATTTACAAGGCTAGGAATGAAGATTGTGAAAGTTTCGAAGTCGTAATACATCTACACAAGAAAGCGAGCCAAAGGGTTCTGGTACTCGAGACAGCGACGGGCTCAAGAAATCCGCAGGTGAAAATCAGCCTCGAGGTTTTCAGATCCAATAAGAAACAGTCTTTGTGCTTTGCTCTGACTGTCAAACTAATTAGCAATAGATTTAAATAAAAAAATTTTATTCGTAAAACAATTAACAATCGAGTAACACAACAAATTGCTTAAAAGTCGAGATGTCGACTTGCTTCGGCGCTCAGGCGTTGAAGCGCACCTTGGAGAGTTGGCGGCCGCTGTAGACCATCTCCTTGTTGAGCACTTCAATGTCCTCCAGGTCGACATTGCCGTGACTAAACCAAAGAATTATTGAAAAGAAAGCAAAAAACATACACTGGCTTGATGCGCTCCTGGGTGTAGTTGGAGCTGCCGCGCTTGGCGCATTCCGAGGCGACCCGCAGCGGGGCTGGAAGCGAAATGGCCGTGTCCACGATTCCATGCAGGAATGTCAGGGCATAGGTAAATCCTAAAAAACGAATATATTTAAAGGACGAAACGTGCCCTGGATCTGGTCCATCGTGTAGCTGGGCTTGTTGATGTCGCTGCCGTTGCGCAGGACGGTGTATTTCGGCGCCTTCGCCGTTCCCTGAACGAATTATTAAAAGGATGTGAGGAAATTGTGGACCTGGAAAGCCTTATGAGGGCTCAGGAAAAACTCGTTGCGGGACGGCGAGACTATGCCGGTGTCGATGACCGTGCCCGGGAGAACGTTTTGAGCCTTATCCGAGCCGCCTTCCAAGTAGAAACGGTGTACGTGGTCCTTGCTCACGGCAATGTAGACCATCTTTGGAAGGTAGCTTCCGCCCGTCAGCTCTTCAACTTCATAGAAGAGTCGGATTTCCTTGCTGAGCAACTAAATTAGAATAGAGTGGGGAATAGGAAAGAAACGTACCACAGGAAATTGGCCCTCGGAGGCGCCGTTGCGGTACACCCAGATCGTCTCCGGCATAGCGCCGTAAGAGTCCTTGAATCGGTTCAAGCATTCCTTGAACAGCTGCTTCAGCGGGCCATCGATAGCCGAACGATCGTCACCGGCGCGAGCTTGGATGAATTTGTAGTCGCCAACGAAGCTGTGCAGATCGCCGGAACAATTTGACGAGAAGCCGAGGACGGACGGGCCAGCCGGCGGCTGGCCAGGAGCAGTCGGCGGCGGGTGCGTAAACTAAAGAAAACAAGTCAAGGACAATTTCAAAACCTACGCACCTCGATGCCGATGATCAAATTGCGCTGCTCGATGATCCTGCCGGTGTCGAGGACGTAGTGGTTCAGTCCGCCCAACTTCATATTCATCTTCCGAATGATATTCTTCATGGTGTCGCGGCGGCCAGTCTCGGTGACGCGCTTGAAAAGCAAATCCTGCGTCAGGATCTGGTGCTTCTGCTCCAGGGCCTTGATTTCACCTAAATAGGAGTTGAAAACAAGCGCGAAATATTACCATGAAGCTCAAGAGATTCGCTCTGAACGAACAAGATGAACTTGACGGCCTTCTTCTTGGCCTCCTCGAAAGCGTCAGACAACTGAGAGAGATCTAATGCTAATGCAATCGAAATACCTTGTAGCGGTCCACAGACCGGTATTCCGTTGGCGGAGCGATGTGCATGCCATTTTGTTGTCCGATCTCCATCAATTTTTTGACCAGCTTCTCGACCTGGTCGATAGGATTCATGGGGGACTTCTTCTTAGTGTTTTTCGCTCCGTTGAGCAGTATAACAGCCCACTCCATGAGTATAGCCGGCTTCGAAAATCCGTCCGACGATTTCGCCTAAGAAGCCATTCGGAAAATTGAAAAAATCTACCTTCTTCGCGACGGACCGGTCTGAATGGTTGCTCACAACCGGCATCGGCAGGACGCGAGCGCCTACCATCAGTGGGCCGGACTCGATTTTCGCGTGGTTGGCAACCAGGTGCTTGTTCGTAGAAGTCGGCGACAACTCCATCGACTTCATCAGAAGGTCGGTTTGCCTCTGACGAATGTCGGGCCGGTTGGCACAAAACTGTAAAAAAAATAAATACCAAGGTGCATCTTCTTACCTTGATTTGGATTTTCATCTGGTCCGGCGACTGCTGACTTCCGCTGACACGCTGATTCGGGGCGACGATGAGGCATTCCATCGGGTATATCGACTTGTGCTCGTCAATCACCGTGTAGGATGGGTATCTAAAACAGTGAATCACTTCAAATCTGCGACGCCAACTCGAGCTGAATATTGTGTATCTGCAGGAAGTATTTGGCCACCGTCATCTTCTTTCCATCAATATCGAGAGTGCTTGTTCGCCGAGGGCCCCGTCTGCTTGATCTTGATGACCCGCTGGGTTTTCAGGTAGTTCGGTTGCACCGTGAGACCTGAATAAATGTAAAGAAAATAAAAGTACTAACAACCTTTCAGTTGGTCCTTGATTCGAATCAGCTTGTCGGGCGAGTAGACGCTCTCCAGCTGTTCGACCTTGCAGTGCAAGATGGCCGCCACTTTGATGTGGAGGCCGACGCTTTTGCCATGGAAGGCCGTCTTGGCCACTAAAAAACAATACATTGTTATCGGGAAAATCACCAAACCGTCAATCGTGACGATGGGGCCGACGTTGCCCTTCGAAAGCGCCTTCGGCGATTTGTACGCTCTTACCGCATCCAATTCCGAGGTACTTGCCGTCCGGAAGGGCTGGGCAATCGGCCTCGCGGAATCCGGCCTCAGAGGGGTCGAAGAGGAAGGCACGGTTCGACTGGTAGACGATGAACTTGCCGGTGCGGACGAAAGCATGTTGGGACGTCAGCAGGTTCAGGAACTCGAAGATGTTTCCATCACCATCCCGGAAGGCATCGTCCGTTGTCAGCTAAAGTTCACAATTCAGGAAGGTTTGCAAAGAATTTGCAATTTGCATGAGAGCGAATTTTCGGTCCCATATACTAAAACACCAACAGCGTAGTCCTCGGTAACGGGCTTGAGCTCAAATTGTACGCCGGTGCATTCCTCAGAGCACTTGTAGTTCATATCCTTGAGGGTAGCCGCATCGAAGAGCTTGTTGACCGCCGGGTACTTCTTCAGGCTGAAGAGGATCGCCGCGCGATCATACACGACTTCTTCGAGCTTTCCGAACGGGAGCAGCTTCTTCTCCGTCAACAGCTTGAGCAGGAAGACCGTCTTCGCCTTGCGATCTTGCTCGGTGAAGCTGAATTGGTAGATAGAGAAGGGGATAGATAGAAAACTCACTCGTCCTTGGTCTGCTTGCAAAGTTCTTTCAGCGAAGCGACGCCCTGCTTGTTGACGTAGGTCTCGTAGATGCGAACATCGTACTTGAAGATGGCGTGGCCCTTCGCGATCGTGAGACTGATAAAGTAATGAAAAAGGAACTGGAAAGAATATTACCGATACGAATTGGTGGCGATCTTGGTCGGCTTGCCGCTCTTGCCCGGCGGCAGCTTCTTCGGCTCGGAGAGATCGATGTTCTTGAGCAGATCAACGACTTCGGAAGTCATTTTTTCTTGCAAATGCTAATCTTTCTAAATGCAAAAAAAATAGTAAGAGTGGGAACCACTCACCGAAAAAGATATTGGTGCAGATGTGATGAAAAACGCGGAAGTGAGCCGCCATCGGATGTTTTCTGTGAAAATTTTCGTTTTGTGTAATCGTGCCAGGACAGGCACGCTGAAAACTTTCAGAAGATCGGGGGAGGGCAGGTACCGTAGAATCATGATTGGACGCCGTCAACCAAATGCATAACTGGGACGCGAAAACGTCCACATTACTTTCCAAACAGACTCAATTCTGCAAGCTCGAGATTACTTAGCGAAAAACAGACTCCTGGTTTCATAAACTTTCGAGCAATGGTAAAACGGGGTTGCGCACGGCGGGAGTCGAACCCGCGACCTCCTCTTTTCCTTACACGTGCTCGTACGCTGATCTACAAGCGTCCCGCATCACCATCGCTCGAGGCCGAGTATGAGGGAAAGGATGGGCTGATTCACGCCATGGCACCCAGCCGTTTCCGGGGCTTTTCCCCTCTCTTGCCAATCCTTTACAGTTTCATCGCATACCGAACATAACAAGTTTTAGCTCTTCACCAAGCCCCTAACAAAATAGCATGGTTTTCATATAACTATATATCTACAGCGAAAGTTTTTCACACACCTAAAAAAATTGACTCCTCGCTCCCTCTCAAGCCGTATGGCAGCAATCGTGCTCAAGAAATCGTACGATGCCAATCTGCGCTTGTGGTAAAGTTGGAAAAACGATGTTCAGACTGGCTCGGGCAAATTTCAGATGCTACTCTGGTTGGCCAATGTTCGCGCAAACCATCAACGTTTTATTTACAAACAAATGAACGAACATAATAACCGAGTAGCAATAAAATTAAAGATCGAATGGTCTGTCAGCTTCGATGCTCTCAGGCGTTGAAGCGCACCTTGGAGAGTTGGCGGCCGCTGTAGACCATCTCCTTGTTGAGCACTTCAATGTCCTCCAGGTCGACATTGCCGTGACTAAACCAAAGAATTATTGAAAAGCAAGCAAAAAGATACACTGGCTTGATGCGCTCCTGGGTGTAGTTGGAGCTGCCGCGCTTGGCGCTTTCCGAGGCAACGCGCAGCGGGGCTGGAAGGGAGATGGCCATACTGACGATTCCATGGAGAAAGGTCAGGGCATGCGTCAGCTCTAAATAAACGGAGTAAAACAAAGATCGGAAAATGTACCTTGGATCTGGTCCATGGTGTAGATGGGCTTGTTCACATCACTGCCATTTCGAAGGATGGTGTATTTCGGCGCCTTCGCTGTTCCCTGCAAAAATCATTAAAAGGATGAGAGAACATTGTCAACCTGGAAGGCCAGATGAGCGTTCAAAAAGAATTCGCTGCGAGAAGGCGAGACGATGCCGTTGTCGATGACGGTGCCCGGGCGAACGTTTTGGAGCGTCGCCGAGCCTCCCTGGCAATTCTCCGGGTAGAAGCGATGGACGTGGTCCTTGCTGACAGCAATATAAACGAGCTTCGGGTTGTAGGAGCCCTTGGTCAACTCGTGGACGGCCTGGTAGAACAGCGGGATTTCCTTGTTCAGCAACTAAACCAAATATACTAAAGAGTTGAAGGAAAGAAACGTACCACAGGAAATTGGCCCTCGGAGGCGCCGTTGCGATACAGCCAGATCGTCTCCGGGATAGCGCCGTACGAGACCTTGAACCGGCTGAGGCACTCCTTGAACAGCTGCTTCAGCGGGCCATCGATAGCCGAGCGATCGTCACCAGCGCGAGCTTGGATGAATTTGTAGTCGCCAACGAAGCTCTGCAGGTCGCCGGAGCAATTGGACGAGAAGCCCAGAACTGATGGGCTAGCCGGCGGCTGGCCAGGAGCAGTCGGCGGCGGGTGCGTAAACTAAAAAAAAGAATATGAAGTGTTCCTAACATAAGTGATCAAAATTCAAGGCGAGCTCAAGGGTCGGCACGACGATTCCGGCAAGATCATCAAGCAGAGCAGCGACAATGAGCTGGCTGCTCTGCTTGAGGATCTTGCCGGCAGCGCGCGCCAAGGAGGTGAGATAAAAAGACACAAGTAAGGGTCAACGCACCTCAACACCGATGATCAAATTTCGCTGCTTGATGATCTTGCCCGTGTCGAGGACGTAGTGGTTCAGTCCGCCGAACTTCATATTCATCTTTTGCACGATATTCTTCATGGTGTCGCGGCGGCCAGTCTCGGTGGTGCGCTTGTACTGAAGATCCTGTGTGAGGATCTGGTACTTCTGCTCCAGGGCCTTGATTTCACCTAAATGAGGTTGAAGAAAATCGCGCAACTATTACCATGGTGCTGAAGCGTACCGCTCTGGAGGAACAAGATGAACTTGACGGCCTTCTTCTTGGCCTCCTCGAAGGCGTTGGTCAACTGTGAAGGATTAAATACATAATTGAAACCACAACTATACCTTAAAGCGGTCCACCGACAAATATTCCTTCGGCTCTCCGACGTGCATGCCATTTTGTCGGCCGATGTCCATCAGGGTCTTGGCGACCCTCTTCGCCTCGTTGATCGGATTCGTTCGAGAGTCCCTTTCGTCGAGAAGAAGGAAGACAACCCAATCAGCCACCACCGCCGGTTTGGCAAAGCCGTTGTTCGACCATTTGGCCTAAAGAACTATGTGAGGAGATCGTTGAAATCATACATCCTGAACGGGGATCGGCCTGTTCGACTGGTTGCTAACGACCGGAACCGGGAGGACGCGAGCGTCGACCATCAGCGGGCCCGATTCGATCTTCGCGCTGTTTGCAGCGAGGTGCTTGTTCGAAGAAGTAGGCGACAGCTCCATCGACTTCATCAGACGGTCGGTTTGTTGTTTACGAATGGCGGGCAGCGTCGCGCAAGCCTGAAAGATCAATAAAATGGCAAAGGTGCATCCCCTTACCTTGATCTGGGTTTTCATCTGGTCCGGCGACTGCTGACTTCCGCTGACACGCTGATTCGGGGCGACGATGAGGCATTCGATTGGGTAGACCGAGCCGCGGTCGTCAACGACCGTGTACGATGGGTACCTAAGCATAACAAAGAAAACTTACCCGCGCAAAGTAAGACTTACTTGAGCTGAATATTGTATTTCTGCAGGAAGTATTTGGTCACCGTCAGCTTCTTTCCATCAATATCGAGCTCGTGCTTGTTCGCCGAGAGCCCCGTTTGCTTGATCTTGATGACCCGCTGGGTTTTCAGGTAGCTCGGTTTCACCGTGAGACCTGAATAAATGTAAAGAAAATAGAAATTACTAAAAACCTTTCAGTTGGTCCTTGATTCGAATCAGCTTGTCGGGAGAGTAGACGCTCTCCAGCTGTTCGACCTTGCAGTTCAAGATGGCCGCCACCTTGATGTGGAGGCCGACGTTTTCGCCATGGAAGGCCGTCTTGATCACTAAAAACAATACATTGTATCTAGAGAATATCACAAACCGTCAACGGTGACGATGGGGCCGACGTTGCCCTTCGAAGCGCCTTCGGCGATGTGCACGCTCTTGCCGCATCCAATTCCGAGGTACTTGCCGTCCGGAAGGGCGGGGCAATCGGCCTCGCGGAATCCGGCCTCAGAGGGGTCGAAGAGGAAGGCACGGTTCGACTGGTAGACGATGAACTTGTCGGTGCGGACGAAGGCGTGTTGAGACGTCAGCAGGTTCAGGAACTCCAAGATGTTTCCATCACCATCCCGGAAGGCATCGTCGGTTATCAGCTAAAGTTCACAATTCAGGAAGGTTTGCAAAGAATTTGCATTTAGGGAGCGAAGTTTCGAGCCCTATACACTAAAAGACCAACAGCGTAGTCCTCGGTAACGGGCTTGAGCTCGAATTGTACGCCGGTGCATTCCCTCAGAGCACTTGTAGTTCATATCTTTGAGGGTAGCCGCATCGAAGAGCTTGTTGACCGCCGGGTACTTCTTCAGGCTGAAGAGGATCGCCGCGCGATCGTACACGACTTCTTCGAGCTTTCCGAACGGCAGCAACTTCTTCTCCGTCAACAGCCTGAGCAGGAAGACCGTCTTCGCCTTGCGATCTTGCTCGGTGAAGCTGAATTGGTAGATAGAGAAGGGGATAGATAGAAAACTCCACTCGTCTTTGGTCTGCTTGCAAAGTTCTTTCAGCGGAAGCGACGCCCTGCTTGTTGACGTAGATCTCGTAGATGCGAACATCAGCGCCCGAAGATGGCGTGGCCCTTCGCGATCGTGGAGACTGATAAAGTAATGAAAAGGAACTGGAAAGAATATTACCGATACGAATTGGTGGCGATCTTCGTCGGCTTGCCGCTCTTGCCCGGCGGCAGCTTCTTCGGCTCGGAGAGGTCGATGTTCTTGAGCAGATCACGACTTCGGACGTCATATTTTTCTTGCAAATGCGGATCTTTCTAAAAAAGCGACTGATAAAAGACCGAAAACTGAAATGGCTCACTGAAAAGATATGGGCGCAGATGTGATGGAAAATCCGTGGGCGCGCGGCTGGATGCAAGTTCGGGATGAAAATTTTCACGTTGGTACGAGCTTTAGCGTGCCAGGCCGGGTACGGCGGGGAAATGAAAAAGAAGAGCGGGGAACTGGTTAGTTACGGTAGGAGCGGGAAAACAACTAAAAGTTAGGGTACAGAAGACATAAAATGGGGTGCTTTCATACGTTGCGGAACGTTTTTTGAAGCCTTTTGCTTGCAAATGGCGCCGTTTTGGGAAGTAGACGCTTTAGTTTTTCATTGATTTCGAGGCGTACTTACAAATACTGGCTAACTAATGACTAGCTCTTTTTGAAGCTGTTTTCGGAAGCTTCGCAAGCCTCTTTCCGCAAGGTGCGCTGCTACAGTTCTGATTTTCCGACGTTAACTTTACAAATGCGGTCAGGAGCTGCACCTATCGCTTCCTGTGCAGATACAAAGGGCAGGGCTTCGAACAAGTAAGCTTTTCAGGCCTGCAGATGTCGGTAGTATTACTTATATGCCCGCACTTTACATATCTAACCGGTCACCGGTTTTTAGG